GCACTATTGAGATAACCACCGTTGTTCTTTCCACCAGTAACTAATACTGATCCATTGGCTAATGTGGATGCTGTGTGAGATCCTCGTGCAAAATTCATGTTCCCTGTGATTGTCCAGCCTAGATAAAGCAGAAAAGCGAGTAAAAAGTATTATTCTTAAAATGACTTCAAATCTCATGTGCATAAGTTGTTTATCTATTGATCACACATTAAATAATTTCAAACCTTAAATACACTTCTCTTTGTTTTCATGATTAAGATAAGATTTATTATGAAATGTTAAATTAAACTAATGAAAAATATCTTATAAACGACTTCATTGATATTCTTCGAGTTATATTGATATCGCGAACTGACGAAACTCCGACACTGTTCTACAGTTTAGTTTTGATGAATAATGATCGAATTTTTGAATGTATATGTCAGGATATACCGGTGGCTAAGAATGGATGTTACTGAGGATATGACTGTGAGTAAAAGAATATAATTCTAACATCGTCCTCATATGAAAATCAGTACACTAAAGGTTAATCAATGATGATAAAAGGTGTTTTTCTCGAGTTTGAAGTTTGTATTTTATATTTTTACGATATTTTTTTTGAATTACTTAACTCTGTACGAATGCAGTATAAGACATGAGAGTAAATATTGATAGACATGTCCATGTTAATATTATGTCAACTAATAAATCAACGTGTAGAATTATTCTCCGATCATCTTGAGAGTAGGTAGATATAAGTGATTATTAAAATAATCAACAAGTTCTATCACATGAAAATCTTTTTATCAACAACCTTTTCATCTGATACTATTCGACAAGACAGGAAGATTCAAAACTTAAATGGGTGTAGATCACATCAAACCATCAAAAACTGTCCCGATTTAGACTTCTGATAGGAAATGTTTCCTAATGTTGTCAATTTAGATGACGATCATCGAATGGTAAAAATCAAAACGTTTAGATATCGTCACTTCTATTAATCATCCTTTAAGTCCCTAAAAATGATTTTTACATGATACTCACTTGATATTACTATTGTTGTTTCAGTTGTTTCAGTTATTTCAGATGTTTCAGTTGTTTCAGATGTTTCAGTTGTTTCAGTTATTTCAGTTATTTCAGTTATTTCAGGTGTTTCAGTTATTTCAGGTGTTTCAGTTGTTTCAGTTATCTCAGTTGTTTCCGTTGTCTCAGTTGTTTCAGTTATTTCAGTTATTTCAGTTGTTGATGTTGTTTCCGTTATCTCAGTTATTTCAGTTATTTCAGTTGTTGAAGTTGTTGTTGATGTTGTTTCTGTTGTTGTTTCTGTTGTTGTT